GGATGAACAAGTCACTCGCAACCGTGGCTTCAAAGTTTGTTTTAATGTACCGAAGACAGGCGTTCATTAACTGTTCGCTCTTAAGCAACTCTGCGAGGTCCCAGTATTTTTTTATGTTTTCGGAGTTAAACCTGGGAGTTCATGAGAGCTCGATAACACCTACCTGGCGGCCATAAAACTCGCAGCCCACTTTTCCACCTGAGGCATTACGAGTTGTTGCGACAGAACAATCAGACCAGTGGCATTGGCCTCATGGACTTCGAGCTGGCCCGTGTACACATACTCGATAAGCGGTCTAGCGACTCTAGGCGGCAGTTGTAATAAAGCACTAGTAATTACTCAGAGGAAACCTTAGGCCACTGAAGGACAGCCTTCTTTTGTCTACGCATTGTACATAAGGATTCACGTAGGGAGGGTACTCTGCAGACCAAAACCACCCTGTGTACATGCAGCGAGACCTCGTCCTGTAGCTTTAAATGAGAAAAGAACAGTGAACTTTATTTATAAACTTACCTCTATAATCATATCGGTCAGTTCGCCTGTCATACGAAGGTTGTTTAACTCGGGAAGACATCGCGAAAGTGCCACTTCGTCCTCAAATGACTGAGTCTCTAGGTTGGCCTCATCCTGTGGCTTGAAATGGGAAAAGAACAGCGACGTTGATTTATAAACTTACCTCTATAGTCATATCGGTCAGTTCGCCTGTCATACGAAGGCTGTTTAACTCGGGAACACATCGTACAACTGCCCCTTTGTCCTCAAATGACTGGGTATCCTGGTTGGCCATTGAATGTGCAAGCCCGGATGGCTAAAAGTTCGGTCAGTTCAGTCGACTTTGACAGAAAAAATCATAATAAGTAAGAAACGTACAACCGTTATTATTTGGAAGGATTTTTGAGTCTGTAATGAACATCAGAAAGCCTTACATTAAGGATCAACCCCACACGGGACACGAAGCTTACGGAGGGGGGATTTGAGGACCAACAGTTGAAAACGGCGGACAGTTTTTCCTGGTGTCAAATATGTGCGTTTCGTAAATCCCAAATGAATACGCGGTTCGGCACTCAGACAGCGGTCATAATAGGTGCCATATTATTAAACGTGCAACTGACGTTTTTGTCGGTGATAGAATGCCTATTTTGAGTCCTATGCATAGCTTCAGCAGAGCTCACTAATGATCACACCACAGACTGTGCAATTTACTGTATCTTCGCCCGAATACGGCTTGCCTTCTCGGAATAATACGTTTCAACGATTCAGCCACTAACAGACATTGCGTAGTATGTGCGACAGAAGGTATCAATGCCAACATTTATTTTAAAACCCTCACACAGATTACCAACACGATACCAATGTGGTCATCAAGCCTTAAGAAAATAACCCTCAACACGTTACATAGTTCATAGTTCGTCCGCTCATTACTGAATCAGTTTTAGGCGATCTCGAACATACAAGCGAAGCACCCTAGCTACTAATCGGCCGGTAGAATATGTTAATCTGTTTTCTAGGAATTCACGGATCAAGCGCGGCATTTTACCAGTCGACGCGACGAAAGACATTGGGGCGAGTCAGGTGCCGACAGCTGATATCTTACAGCCTCGCCGTTCCCCTTAAGGACAGTATGTCGACTGGTTTACCGAAGGCCTTTCAGGAAGTCCCGCCGAGCACATTCGCGCGGCAGGAAATTGAATCAAAGTCACGGTCTGCATTGCGACTGTGTGTCCGCTGACTTTCCTCATTTTTCATTCGCATTCGCTTAGATCTTCGCCTTGTAAAAGTTAATATCTAAGAAAATTCTATAATTAAAAGAAAAATATAAAATCAAAGAAATCAAAATATCAGGACCGCCCCAGGCAGACTACATGTCAAAACACCCTACTGCTACATCGATTCGCAGACGAATTAGCATCTAAAGCGTTAGTTAAAAAGGAAGCATGTCGGTCATACACCGTCGTCAACCCATATGCAGCACTTCGGTTTAGACGAGGTCCACCAAGTGTTCCACAACAAGGTGGACTCAGCGGCGGAAACTCACGTGTGATGTGGTTTCGAGTGTTAGTAAATTCCTGCTGCATCTACCGCGCTCGCCTCTCCCCTCCCACCTTGTCCCGCTGTCATACAGACTGGAGGAGGGATCGGGCAAAGATCAACGGCGCGGCGTGAGCCTGCATCTAGGCGCATTAGCATTGTGACATTGTTGATGAGTGTGTTGGAGGAGGAGGAAGACAGAAAAAAACCTAAATTATCCTCTGTATGCTTGTCGGCGGCGCTACGCTGTACTTCAAGGTACGTCTACTAAATACTCCTCCTGTTGATTTATACATTAGCATTCCATAAAAACTATCGACGCGGACAGCGACTATGTCAACAGACGTCCACTCAACACTTTCAGTAATTTTTTTTTCGCGAATGAAGTTAAATCTGAAGTCTACGCCGGTATGTTCCCTCGACAGCAAAGAAGTCCATCAAGTATATCTAGTTCCTTATAACATAACAGCGAACCAGAATTGTCATCTGCAAATGCTGAAGCCACAGAGTGAGTCAGTGATTTTAACTGACATGAATTGTGGCGGTCGAGACTATCTGTTCCGTCACAACAGCGCGACTGCCCATAAGGTTCTCAAAATCAACCAGTTCTTAGCAAAAGGCGTAACGATGTTGTCGTACAATATGAAAGGCAGCTTATTTATTCATGGTTTGGGTACCCCATTGAACCCCATATAACGGCTATCGGGCACTGAACTGTCACTTTTGTAGCCCTGTTATGAGCATGAAATTCGTAAAACATTCTTGGACCAATACTGGCTTCTCCAAAGCTCACGCTGTTTGGCTATTCTCATTACCATCGAGCACCTACGCAACTGGAAGAGAAAAGTAGCAGAAGGGCAGTGGTGCCCGCGTTTGTGCACGCACTCTCTGTTGCATGGTCCACGACACCTAGGTGTCGTTTCGTAAATTTATGCAAATTAGTGAATTTGCTCAACGAGATAGATGTTCAGGTGACGATGAATCATGGAAAACCATCAAGTTCGGACAGTTTGTACCGCATGTCGGTGTTAATGTTCTGTCTGGAATCAGGATTCCAGCGGACACTCTTTCATGTTAGATTTTACTTTCTACTGTTTACAGTCGTACACAGTAAAAATCCCTGCCCACCTATTTTAGTTTGAAGGACAAAATCGATACCACTTGATACAGTTATCTTGAAAAATAGCTAAATGTTGGATTTCTTCTCGAGGTAGCTATAGCTACTGGGAATGGTTGCATTTCCCACCAAAACGTTAACGAAACGAATTCGCTCTCGTTTGTCGTGCTTAGACAACCAAAAAACTTGCTACTTAAATTATAATCTGGATAAATTATATTTAATCCAGACAATATATCATCAGTGCAATTATTATATTATCAGCATCATATACTTTTAATAGCAAGGAATTGTAGTTGTTATATATATGTCTAATCAGCACAATTCAGTGTCCCATAAAATACCCCAAACCCCAACATAAAGTCAACCATAAAATCAATGAACATAATCGGGCGGCTGCAAAAAGATGAGCGCGCGGATAACGTAGGATCTCTAAGGGAAGTACGCGCAGACGCACCGCGCAAGGATCAAGGCGTCTTTTGAAATGTCCGAAGCGTAGATGACTGACGGCCTTAAGAGTTCAGTTGAAATAAACAAAGGCGAACGTAAATTAAAATTCGATGAAAAAAACGTAACATGGTGTATTAAGCTAAGATCAAACACGAGAGTGAAAAGTATTACATTTTCAAAGTTGAGTCTTGTTCTTTGGTTCAAACTGGCAGTCAGCAATGTTCCGAGCATTTTGAACAGAGGAATTTCGTCGATAGAGAGGAAAGCATGACTACGGAAAACGGTCGACAAAATATTCCACATTTCGTTGACTTTATTACAGATTAAAAATTAATTTGTTTAGCATGTGCTGTTACATAAAGTAAACTACGAAAAATTGGAAAATGGGTGTGTCAAGGAGCATGAATATGCTCTGATGGATCGCGCAGTTGCAGAATCTTCCTAAACGACGGACACACAATGAGCAGGCGTTCTTAAAGGCCGTTGTTTCCATCCTTTTAGTCGTTTCACCCCAGGTTCGGATATTATTCTTTGTTGACTAACTGATTTTGTGTGTATTCCGAGCTGATATAATGAGAAAGTGAAGGCTCTTCGGAAAATTGAGTTGTACTCGACCCGTCGTCAGACGAAATGAACAGAGGAAAAGTAAAGTCGGCTGGCGCGACAGGACAGACAACGATAAACAGACAGCTGATATGTGAGAGGGGTGGGCACCTGGTTGTGGTAGGCCGTGGGACAGGGGGAGGGAAGGAAGAACCGTTAGGGCTCCCAGTGTTGGAAACGGTGAAACGCGGGGGGGTGGGGATTGCGAATCAGTGGGAATGCGGGCGGCTGGTCACTTATGCGGGCGGCTAGCCACTGATGCGGGATGTGGTCAGGGGCCAATGCGCCGACGTCCACCATCGTCTTTGCCGCTTTGAAGCAACAATATCTGACCTTAGAAGCCGATGCGTCTCGTGCTTACCTGAAAACTTCATTTCATAAATACTTCACCGAATAAATGCCACCACCAAAGCCGCCAGAATGAAGAAGCGGGCCGACCTGCAAAAGAAACTATAATCTCTTTTGCGCACGGCCAGCGAGAACCGAATGTCTACGAAGGTTGTTAATCTTTCGAAATGGGACCTATCTTCAACTGAAATAAACCTCCTGTCTAAGGGGATAGGATTCAGTCACACCGATGCTGCGCCTACGGATTTCCTAGCCAACCTTATATCCCTCCTTCTGACCTCAGACGTCCCTGATGACATGTGTGCGGACATTCGCAGTTGCGCCACTGGTCTCCTTCGACAAAGGAAACATCATCAAACCCTACCGACCTGAAGAGAAAAAGGCGTTGCGATCGCTAAGGACAGATGACAAGATAGTTATTATGTCTGCTGACAAAGGAGGAGCAATCGTTATCATGAATAAGGTTGATTACGTCAACAAGGCAAACCAAATCTTCGATGACAGGGAAGCCTATGCACCACTCGCTACAGGCCCAACGAAAAAGCCAGCCGCGACTATCAAGAAGAAAGTGAACGAGCTTGCCCGATTGAAGCTCATAAGCCCCGATGACAGCAGATCTATGACCCTCAATGACCCCCGTATCGCACGTGCGTACGGCCCTCCCAAGGTGCATAAGACAGATGCGCCGCTGAGGATCATTGTACCACTTTTTGGATCCCCTACTTACAACCTTGCCATGTGGTTATACAGACAATTAAAGCACCACGCAAATGGATCGCAATACAGCATCAAAAATTCTCAGGCTTTCCTACAAAAGATCCAAGGCCTTGAAGTAAGTCCTGACGAATGCATCCTATCGTTCGATGTTGTTGCCCTGTTTTCTTCAATACCGCATGACCTAGCGATTGACAGCGTAGCCCGATGTCTAGAGCAAAGTCCCATCGGCATTCCAACAGAACTTGTCGTAGACATGTTTAAGCTTTGCCTCAAGAATTACTGTCTGTTCGATGGCAAGTTCTATCAACAGGTAAAGGGCACCCCAATGGGCTCCCCAATATCGGGGCTGCTTGCAGAACTAGTATTGCAGCGACTAGAACAGGATGTTGTGCACACCTTCGAACCAAAAATGTGGCTCCGCTACGTGAACGACACATTCGTCATCATAAAGACCAGGGAAGTTGAGCGATTACATCAGAGCTCAAATAGCGTCTTCCCGGCTATACAGTTCACCCGCGAAGAAGCAACAGGAGATACCCTCCCCTTCTTAGATGTGAGCGTATAAAGACTCAGTGATGGCAAACTAGCCACAAGCGTCCACAATAAAGACTCCAGTGCCGAAATCATACTTAACTATGGGAGTTATCAACCTGCGGCCCAAAAACAAAGCTGTGTCCGCATTCTTTTCCACCGGGCCTATCGCATCTGCAACAGTGATGACGGACTTAAGGAAGAATTGGCCTATTTATATCGATTGTTCCGCTCCAACGGATATCCTGCCAGTTTTGTAAAGAACTGTCTCAGACGCCAGAGACAACTACCAAACCCCGAGTCTCATGATGATAGAGCGTCGCAGAAATTCTATACACTGCC